ATTTTTCCACCACTTGGGCAACTTAAAGTTGTTGGGACTACAACCCCAAAAATCCCCAAGCCAGCAAAGCTAATTGGGAAATTCAGGGAGTTGAAGTCCACACATCTTCAAGCTGCCAAGGTTGAGAAACACTGCTCAAAGCTTTTCCTAACCTAATGCCCTCTGGATGTGTTGGGATACTGAAGGAGCTGTATCGACAGGCTAAGGGAAACCCAACTATAAGAAACAAAAGCTTTGTTATTTCTGCTTAAGAATTCCAACCATAAATTAGCTGACTTACACTAGTCATTCTTTAAATTGTGCCTTAGTGCGCCTTACTAGGTAGCAGCACCATGCTAAATTTGGCTGGTCTTGAAAAGTAAAGCAGGATCATACTTGATCAGTGCAAGAATGGGAGGTCACCAGGAAATCCCAGGAATGGAGATTAAATTGGAAAGGAAAAAATATATTCCAGAAGGTGTCCATGGAAAACCTCTTTTGTATTTTTCCTGGGAAAGCTATATGGCACGTTCATGAAGTCACTGGATGTTAAACTGCACTTGGAGAACATTTGCTTTACTGTTTCCAAACAAACCCCCAACAAAGGGTACGTGTGTTTTGATTTATTTCATGCTAAAAATCCAGTACTGATCATCTCACATCTTCTAGAATTCTAGAGATTCTAGAAACTGATGAAGAATTAACAAAATACTCTTGTATTTCCTCCCCCGCCTTTGATTTAACTTGTGTCATCAGAATGTAGCATAGGAATCTGTTCCCAGCAACAGGACTAAATCCAGTTTAGGACAATATCTCTGAGCACATATAGATGTTTTTCCTCATTACTGAATTATTGGATATTCTTCTCTCCTGCCCTATTTGGGATCTTGCAGTAGGTTCCTTTGAGCACATACTGAAGCAGGAGTTTCATTATAATGCCAAGCCCATATTTCTTCTCTTTCTTCCCATCCCTTTATTCTACCAGCCACCAAAAGTGCATTTTAATTCATTAGCTTGGATGACAGATTCTTGGATGACAGATTCTTGGATGAAAGATTCTCCGTGAAGTAAAAAAAAAAAAAAAAGTGTCAGCTCAGAAAGAAGAAAAAAGTGAAACCCCAATTCCTCCATTTCCTTTTATAACACTTGTCTGTTCTGTCCTTTTTAACTATAATGCTTGTTTATGAGATCTTTGCTTCTTCCTTTTGTCTTGGAGAAGCAACAAAATTTAGATAAGTTGATATTCACAGCTGAAAAACCAGTATCTTGCTCTCAATTTTAGGTATCTTGCAGTAAGTAGCTTGTAAAAAATGTGCTTGCCTTTCTTCAACAGCACAACAAACTCTAAGGCAGTTATTGTTTCAGTGAAACCCTTAAATTGGTATTAAAAGAAAACTAGCATTAACTTTCTTAAGGAAGTAAATTCTTTGGGTTGGTGAGCTAGGAATGGATAACTTAATTGAACTGAACTTTGTGAATGCCCCTTCTCTCTGGCAAGAAGACTGACATTTGAAATATTCATAATATACCCTTCCTTTAAACCTTTAACTGTTGTGTTAATTTGTGATATTATTTTTTAAGATACGTTAGGAGTGAATTCATTATTTACAGAGTCCTTTCTTTCTCTTTTAATTAAAAAATATCTATGATTTTAAGGCTGCATTTTATGAGTATTTCATGACCTACTTCTGTTGGACATATTTGTTCTGAATTGGATATAATTATCAAGAAATAGCACTAGCAATGTACAGAGGGACACCCCCCCCCCGCCCCGAATACACTTGATTATCTTAATAAATGTTGCTGGCTCAAATCTTGCCAGGCATGCAAGATGTTTTCAACTATGCTAAAGTAGTTACAGGAAATGCAAGTGAGTTTCACTTTCATTCTCAAAGTTATTTGCTAATTTGTAACACTGCAATATTAAGTATCTCCCTGTAGAGTATAATTTAATTGTAATTCTCACCACCATGCCTTCTCAAACACTCAAAACTGGTCCACTTGTCCACTTCCTGGTTTTCCATTCTTAAATCTATACCTGATTTGGGATGGAGGTAATGATCTAAAGCCAGCCTTCTCAATATATTTATGCTGATGTGCATGCTTTCTGTCCAGTATAGATATTAGTGTAACTATGTGGTTGTTTCTTTGATTCTCTGAATATACATGATAAATATGCATAGTGAGGAGCAAAAATAATATGTTTATATTCAAAACCCAGACATGAGATCTTGATAGCACATAAGTAAAAGGAAATGTAAGGAATAATATTCACCTTGTGCTCCTAATTAGCAAATACATATTCCAGAGCCATTTCCATTGCGTTCAGTGGAGCATACTCCTTGGGGGTCTATGCAAGGGTGAGCAATTTGAGACCACAGAATTAATGGGGCCAGGACCTCCCTTTCTATGGTTCCTAGAGCCTTTCCAATCACAATTGCCAAAAAATAGTGTCATGTTTTCATTCTGATCTGAGACAAGAAACACACGGAAATGCAAGTGTGATCACTAAAGTAGCTTGAATGTAGGTTATAAATCAACAACAACAGACAAATCAGAAGTAAATCAGAAAATCTTAACCCCACCCATGTGTTTTATTTGGCCAACTCACTTTGCAACATTGTTTAGCACACATTGTTCTTTGTCATCCTAGAAAATGTTATGTGGGTTATGGCCACAAAAAAAGCTTGCTATAGTTCTGTCACTTTTAAATCTGTAAGTGCTTAGTTATAGCTCATGAAAGTGTATGCCTTTTAATAAAATGTATTGCTCTGAAAGGCTGCTATCAGACTCCTCCTGATTTTGGGCTGCCATAGACTAGCACAAATCTCCTCTTGTTATCACTCTACAGAATAAAAAGTCAGTGTAAGAATTTAAAAGAGACAACAGAAAGGTGTCAAAACAAAATTGATCTGTTGAGTAAATTAACCTTAGAACTATAAAAGGTGTCTGTGAAAGCCTAGAATTGTCTGCACTGGATTTGGGTTTATATGTTCTCCAGGTTTGCAAGCCAAGATCTTCACCTCATCACAGCAACTGAACAATCACTGGTTAGATTGCTAGAACAGGTAGTCCTCACTTTCCAACCGCAATTGGGACCGGCAACTCTGTCACTAGGCAATGCGGTTGTAAAGTGAAACATCACGTGACTAGCTGCAGTCCT